AGCATCGGAAGACTCTGAGTAGGACCATAGAAAATCATCAATACTTCAAAGAAGAAACTTCGAACAACCTTAGATTTCCTACATCGTGGTCGCTATTTACGGGTCAAAATCGTAATTGGGACAAGAAAAGGCGGTCGCTGGCTGCGTTCAGCAATTAGTCGCTAGCCACAGTGCTTTTTAAACGTGAGACCGTCCGTGCCTGGCAAGGTGGTCGGTAGTACCAGCCTGGTCGCTAGTCACGGTGGTCTTTAGTTACAAGTTTTACTGTACTTAGGAATGGGTTTGCTCCCACACTGGTATAATTAAAAAGGCGGCGTAGAGACAAGAGTCTTTGTACCGCTAGGAAAAGTGTGTACGCAGTCATACCATGACACGAGAACAACAATATTTCATGGATTCCACAGTATAAATGAAGACAACATTGGACAGCTGACTGAATTGCAAAATCGCACCACCAGGAAACTTGGCCCTGAACTCGAAACCATGGCCGTGGACAATGGGATTTTCCCAGGACGATCAGAGAGTAGCGAATCACTAAGGGAGACGTGTAGCAATGGACGATGGACATTGTTAGGAGATGGCAGTGGCCAGATTGGAGATGACAACAACTATGATGACTTACCGGCACTGACGCTTGCGGTTGGGCCAACGGCGGTGGATATAGGAGGGACTCCGGTTGAAGGTGGTGGTTGCGTGGCGCGGGTACCACAGAAGAGAATTAGAGCGGAGCTGGGTCACGCGGAGTGGAGAGGGAAGTGTTTCGATTTTGTGGACTCGTCAGCGCAGCACAGAGAAAATGAGGCAGAACTTGATAATGAAATCAATCATTCCACCACCAAAGAAATCACAAGTTGAAGGTGACAAAAGTTCTAAAGGTGATAACAAAACACACAGTGCTGGTGGGACATGCATATAGATGACGCTAGAATTTAGACAAGCGCATAAAGCAGAACAATCTATTAGAAGTTTGCACTAACGTTGCCCAACACACGTACATGCATACTGAATCAATGATAGATTGAAAGTGACGTGACAACGAGGTGAGTCTGGCCTTCCGTTTGTCTCACCTCGTCGTCACGTCACTATGGGACCAGTACAGTAAAACTCCCCAGATGCGGATGTCCCTAATCCGGGCACGTCCGTGTATTAGGCACCTTTCTGACCCATCTAGAGTCACAAAACTGACATTTCAACGAAAAGCGGCCCCAAAAACTATTGATTGGCATAAAAAATCTTTACTTGCATTCAGTAGGTACGTGTGTTAAGAGTTACGGGCAATTGCTAGTTACGGGCGGTGCTCGGTCGCAACCTGCCCAGATAAGGGGAGGTTTACTGTTATTTCAATATTTCATTATGCATGTGTGTGTTGCAATGTTAGTGAGAACTTCTTATAGATTGGCTGCTTCACGCGCTTGTCTAAATTCTAGCGCCATCTGTATGCATGTCCCAGCAGCACTGTTCGTTTCGTTATCACCTTTAGAACTTTTGTCACCTTCAACTTCCTTGGGTATGCCACTTTTTGTATGCAGAAAGTGTGCAATTGCCCACTTTACCCTGTAAATACAGTTGTGTGTCAGTTATCCGGCACCTTCGAGACCGGACACTGTTGGATGAATGAATATTCTGGATGACTGAAGAATGGCCATCAAGTGTTGCAAGCAATTCATACACACAGCTCACCATCAGTGGCATGGTTTTGTTCCCGTGTGCAGTGTTCATGACGCAATACAAGCTAGCGTGGCCGACGTCCAGTGCTATGTTACCAGCGTTCGCCCAACTGTACACCCAACTGCTGGGACAGCTTCAACCAGGGAGTGCTCCTGCTGATGAAAGCACTGTGCAAGTGCCTGGGACAGGTGCTGGAGTACCACTAGCAGTGAGTTCAGCAGCTGGTGTAGCGTCAAGCGCTCCAGCTCAACTGCCTGGTGATAAATCTCAGGCCATGCCTACTGCAGGAAGCGGACCAAGTGCCGCCATGCCTGGTGACAAGCTGTCAAAGTCCAAACCATGCGGTACTGGTACTGGTCAGGAATTGGGCAAGGAGCCCGGACCTGAGCGATCAACTTCAACACCACCACCTGGCGCAACCCTGACTGCTACAACAGCCGCTTCTAAACGAAGGAAACGGCGAAAGGCAAAAGCAGCAAAGATGAGAGCTACCCCCGCAGGTCAGTCAGAGATCTGAAATTTGAAGTGCCATGTATATGTCGTACATGCACTCTTTCATCATGTCTGAGTGTGGCCTGATAGCCCACTGACTATTGATGAGCTGGAGGAGCAAACTAGTCCAGGAGATAACACATGTAGGCAGTGGTTCTATATCACCTGTGTTGAGCATTATTTGATGCACCCTCAAAGGTCGATAAGCATGTTGTGCAACGTAAGAGTCACGGGTTTGGGAACAAAAAAGCTCTGTCTGTCTAAGCAAGACTAGAGATGGAATGAGTACATCATGCATGAGTACTGTAGGAGTTTGGCGTTCGGTGTTGTACCATTCGTTTTCGCAAAGCTTCCCCTTCTGTACTTATCTTTGATATTTCTAAACCACGCAAGTTGGGTGGTGTGCTGCTTTGCTGCTTGGAATTGTAGTTAGTCCGCATTGTCAATTATTTTACTGGTCTCGTCATCGTCCAGTAGCAATCGACATTCGTTGTTCTCATGGGACTTTAGCTTGTACTCATTTTCGTTATGTTTACCTTCCCAACTTTCATCTTTCCTTAAAGGGGCACTCCGGCTTCATTTTCGACGCCGAGTTTTCGATGCCAAGACGAAGGTAGGTGAAAGAGAAGACCCCTCGAACAAGAACGAGTCTCCAGAAGCGATCGAGTCGAGCAGGAAGACGACTTTTTGAATTTCGCCGAGCGAGCGCTGATGACGTAATGAGGGATTAGCTTGCCAGTGGAAATGCACCTGCGCACATACATTTTACACACTTTTTGGCCAATTTTCAATCGAAGAGGAGGTTGTTTGCTATGTTCTCCCAACGTCGTGAGCGATCCCGTCTTCTATACCCTTCCAGGTACCCTGAAGGTCCTCCAGACGAGAATTTATCTCCAGCAAAGCGTTGTTCATCCGCTAAATTCGTCTCGAGACATATTCAGTGCTGATGAATGTAGAATGTTGAATCTGTGATAATTGTCGACGATGGAGAGAGAGAGGCTGATAGCCGCTGTCGCAGGGAGAGTGAAGCTGCTGGAAGTAACAATGGGGAGCCCGTTTGTATCATCTGAACAACCAGACTTCAAAGCAGCTTGACCAAATCGGAGGGTGCCTCGTTGCTTATCGTGAATATTACACCGACATGAATTACTACAAGTATACTGGTGAGTTTTTATCTTGTTTTGTTCGTATGCTAGTACCCTGGCCTGGAGTTCTCGTTAGCACATTCCTATTCCCTGGCGGTTTCTAAACATTCCGTTTAGTACTGAATACGTGATCAAGTATTCCGATTTGGGTAGATGTGGAATTTGGACATGTATTTTATAAAAAAATTCTATCATAAGTTGCCAAATAGAGAAATGTAGAGAAATGGTTGCCCAAATACAACAAAATTGATTCTGCAGTTCTACAACTTGTACTGAAATCCAGTCAAAGTAAAAATGATTCTTCATGACAGTTGGGGTCAATGAAATCTGATCCAGGCATAACGAATGGTGACGCCTGCCACCCCGGGAACGAATGCCCATTTGGTGGGGGATACCAAAGTACTCGAAAGTGGTGCGTGTTTCAATGTGGCATTTTGGAAGTTTTATATGATCTCTGGTCAATGCAACATACGATAGCCATCATGAATTCCAGGCCTCGAACGCAACTCAGACCAGAATCGGCAGTTCCCTAAGTTAGATGCTTTATAATTCCATGGCCCCAGCCTTAGTTATACCGTAAAATCCCGCCAGAGCGCCCCTACCTCCTCACCGCTTCAGGTGGGGAGGGGCGGATGGGCGAGTCCTACTTGCCGCATTCAGTGCCACATGAAAAAGTACTCACCCTACGAAAACTGTTCGTGCATCTCGTACACCGACCAAAGGTCAAGAGCCAGGAGTAGAACAGATCCGAAAAACGCAGGGTTTGTGCGATCCCTGGCCAGGAGGGTGGGCACTGTTGCGTACATTTCCAACGGGGTCGAGCACACGTCTACAGTGCAGTACGGCATCACAGACTGCGACAGAGTCATACGAGGATACAATCAATCACGTCCCTGACAAGAAGTCAGGGAGGGGCGGATGGGAGAGACGGGGCGCTCTGGCGGGATTTTACGGTCGAGGTTTTTCTTGCACATTATTCTTATAGTCGATAGGTTTATACTGATGGCCACAAACAACGGCAGTTCTAACTTCACTGATGTGTTCATGAGCTGAGAGATTTCTCTCCACTATTTCTGTTGTGCACACAGGTCTGTCCAATATGCATTGACCGTATTGGGTATGGTATCTGCTCTGAGAAGGGAATCGCTGGAGCCACAGTCCAACTATACAGGCTTTCAAGAAACAGAGAGGAGCCATCTTTGCAAGCTGATACCTGATGTGTACCGACAGAATTCTCACGAGATACCTTTCGGACTACGTCTGGTGTATACTTCATAGTACTCCTTCGACTACGGTCTAGAATCAAGTCAACTGAAACAAGTTCAAACAACTCTGGCTTCAAACGAGCCGTCGATTAGACAAACAAAACATTCTCTCATATACTAGAGCACTCTGACAACTCATGACCTATTCCTAACGATTGCCACCGCTTATAAATATGTAGAGTGCTGATTGGAATGTGCTCACAATCTCAACAGTGCTATAATTATTTGAACAATGTGTTATAATATTCCACTTTTCCTTCCATAAATGTTGTATCCACATATAATCCACAGTGCTGCAAAGTTTCAGAGTTCTCAGGGTATCAAACAAAATTATTTCAAATACAGTTAAATTGTTCGTGGACAATAGCGGAACTTGTAGTCCCCTGGTCCTTTTCTTTGCTAACGTTATAAATTAATCCTTTGCTCTCTATATGTTGTAGCCGCCGGCGAGTCCAACAGTGAAATTGTTAGTTCATATTTATAATGTGGGAGGGGGGGGGGGGGTTGAACATATTTCTATATATATATAAAGGGACCTGCAACTGTAATACCACAGTACAGTAGCCAGCAAATATGTAGAAAACAGAAATGCATGTTACCATCATTGTACATGGACGGGCGCAGCAGGCCGAAGCTATCAGCCAGAACAGGATTTACAATCACCTAGAGATACTTGAGCTATTCCAGTATTCTCCGTGAACTGTCCCATTCCACAATGGTTCATGCCACCATTATTTCTGGTAGTATCCATGTGCATAATTCCAAGACCATCTCGGATTCTTCAGCAATTTGTGCCACGGCAAAAGACAACGCTTGACTCGGTCACTGGGGCTGTCAAACTTCCCATCACAAATGACTTTCAATTTCTCATCTGTTTCAAGTATGTGTACTGCCATGACTTGACCATGCTTCATCCACAGCTGGGCGAAGATTGTGGCGTTGAATTCCATAGCGCACCTTCTTGCTGCCATCCAGGAGTATGTTGAGAGAAGTGAACATATTTTTACTAAAAAACAACAGCCACTGAAGAGGATAGCAATAGCCTTGGGTGAATTTCCTGCAGGTACACGTTGTTGGTAGGTCTACTGGTCCGTCTCCATATCGTCAAGTTCAGAAATCACCTGTACTACACTACACATCTTGTAGAAGGGATCCTGATCGAATAATTTCTGGTCATAAAATTCACTAAACTGAGGGCGAGACAAATAGTCAGTACTCCCCGATTCCGTCAAGCTGCTTTGAAGTCTGGATGCTCATGTGATGCTAACAAACTCCCCGTTGTTACTTCCAGCAGCTTCACTTTCCCTGCGACAGCGGCTATCAACCTCTCTCTCCATCGTCGACAATTATCACAGATTCAACATTCTACATTTATCAGCACTGCACTGGGTGAATATGTCTCAAGACGAATTTAGCGGATCAACAACGCTTTGCTGGAGATAAATTCTCCTCTGAGAGGACCTTCAGGGTACCTGGAAGGATATAGAAGACGGGATCGCTCACGACGTTGAGAGAACATAGAAAACAACCTCCTCTTCGATTGAAAATTGGCCAAAAAGTATGCGAAATGTATGTGCGCAGATGCATTTCCACTGGCAAGCTAATCCCTCATTACGTCATCAGCGCTCGCTCGGCGAAATTCAAAAGTCGTCTTCCTGCTCGACTCGATCGCTTCTGGAGACTCGTTCTTGTTCGAGGCGTCTTCTCTTTCACCAACCTTCGTCTTGGCATCGAAAACTCGGCGTCGAAAATGAAGCCGGAGTGCCCCTTTAACCTAGAACTTTCCGAGTTGGAAGGTTGGTGGTTAGCACTTCGGAGATGTGTTGGAGCTACTTCCTACGTTTACAAAAAACTCCATGACTTTTTTGGAAGGCTGCCCACAGCTCTGGAATTGTTCTGTTTGACTTGGGATAACACTCGTGGCATTGTCTAACCTGTTTACAAGCTATATACAAAGAAAAAAAAGCAACTCAGACGAATGAGATTGAGTTTATTCAGAGTCTTCGTCGCTCGTGTCATTGTCACCTGACAACGCTGACTCCGCATCGCCAACAGCCGCTGCTTCCGCTCGCATTTCGTTTAGCTTCTTGTTAGCGGCAGTGATGATCCGACGCGGCACTCTGGCTACGTCCTCTTCATCTCCAGAGTTGGGTACGAATCGGTGTCGACTATTCTGTCGTTCCAGCCCGCGACCTCCACTATGCCGTGAAACGAGTCGTACAAGCACATCCACACGCTTTGCATTTTCTCGGCAGGATACTCCTCCCAGCACTCTACAACGACTTCGAGGAGGTCCCTGCGATTCCCCTTCGCAACAAAGGAGACACCTGACTAGACAAAGGCGAAGAAAGCCAGGTCGTCGACATTCCGATCCGGAGTCTGCGCTGGTTGCACTACGACTGAAATGTTTCATCTTGCCGTGCGAGCGGAACAGCTAAATTATGTTCTCACGTTGCAGGCCGCCCACCGTAAGTAGACCTATGAGCCTGGCCAGCTTCATGAAGTTCGGGATTCAGAGCAGCGAGTGCCGCGTGGCTCTGTGTTCCAGCCGCGAGATCCACTTCTTCACTGTGTCAGTTTCGAGCAAGTATTAAAGTGTTAATTAACATTCTACTCCCCATGCTAGAGTATAGAGTAGACACACACGCGTGCAGGACGCGACACACCAAAAGACACAAGAGTGAGTTTGGAAGAATGGGAATGTCGGGCAGAGTAGCTGGCCTCAATTGAGTTCGGGTTAACGAATAGTGTGGTCGGCCTACCGAGGGCAGGAGCTGTATATGACCAAGTGGGTCGGCCTGCGCTGAGCAGGAGCGGTTTGTGACCCATGCGAGTTGGTGGGTCGGCCTGCATTGAGCAGGAGCGGTTTATGACCCATGCGAGTTTAATAGTAGTGCGCGAGAGGCCAGTTACGGAGGAGTGCCCATGCCGACATTCCCATTAGGGCCAGGGGAGATAGCGGGTGATAACAACCAATATATATGGTAAGTATGTATTGCACAAGAGCGTTGTTCTAGAGGCATAACGTCAGACTGATATTGTGGAGTAGGATCGACAGAGAACGCTATCTGCATCCTAAGTGAATGTCTTTGCACTTACTCAGTGATCGGCTGGACCATGGTGTCAGGCCGCTCCGCAGCTGTAGGAGCAAAGGTCCTGAAGGCATCCATCTTGTTCCGGGACAGGGCATCAGCGATGGTATTGGAAATTCCTGGCAGGTGCGATGCTCGAATCAGGAAATTGTGCTTCGCACAGATTGAGTACAGGGTGCGGATGAGTGCCATGACTGCAGGAGACCGGCTCGTGCCCGTCTTCAGGCACTCCACGACAGCTTGGTTGTCGCACTAAAACTCCACACGCAGCCACTCGATCCCTCATGTGGCGCAGGCCACGACAATGGCGAAGAGCTCCTTGTAGGTAATGCTTAGTTCCAGTTGCTGCGGGGACCAGTCACCTCTAAACCAGCGACCATTGAAGAAGGCTCCAAATCCAATGGTGCCACTTGCGTCGGTTTGCGACTGGAGGTCAGCGCTGGGCATCCACTTCTCTAGCAGGAAAAATGACTTTCCGTTCCATGTTGACAGAGTCTGGTGCCACCAGCTCAGGTCGCCCTTGGCTGAGGCTGAGAGGTGCAGCATTCGGTGAGATGACATCTCAGATGTGGCCTTGTCGAGGTCATACAGGCAGCGTAAGAATGTACGGGCGGCCGGAATTGCTCTGGAAGCGAACGAGAGGTGGCCCAGGAGTGAGGCGAGTTCGCGTTTGCGAACGCAACCAGATATAGCAGCAGAATGGCCTATCGTGAAACCGTGACATAACCCATGCAACACAAAGTGAGAGAAGGAGTGATCAGAATGACGGTTAAGGAGCCCGGCTAATCGGCTATCATTGATGGGGATCTCCACAGAATGTTTACGGAGCAGACGCTGAGGTGGCGGACTGTCCCCTGCCACATTTGACTTCTGGGTGCTTCCCGCGGCATTGAAGGCACACGTGGGCACGATAGCAGAATGAGTTGTTGCAATGGTCCCTGTTGAAGTTGCGGCAGATAGGCTTCCCAAGATGGGCTGGCGCGCTGGACTGCGGCGGACCTGCACTCCCAGCGCCGTCGGATGGAGGCCCTGGTCTAAAGGGACACCGGGCCTGGGCCACTGGGTGCACCAGAGAACAGCGCGAACATGGTGGGCGACCACGGCTGGTGAATGACGACTGCCACAAATTAGAGTCGATGATAGCCCAGTCGTACGACAGTGGTTGGGAGGCTATGGAGCGCCGGAAACGCCTGTCATAACTTAGCCATGCGTCCACATGATCCGAGTTATTTGCATCCAGAATAGTGGCCTGATATGCCAGCAAATCATTTGCCCTATCTGGAGCCGCCGGGACAATTACTCTCGTGTAGACTGTAAACGCCTCGAGCCATGACGCTACATCGTGGACATGGCGGCGCTGGGCCTGAGTTGGCTTCTGTACAAGTATAGTTGGACAGAGCGGTTAGCCCCCACAGCTAGCTGGACCACATCGGGCTCCACACCCAGCTGGTCCGGGAGGAGGTCGTCGAAATCAATAAACTCGCCGCGTTCAATTCGCCCGCGGAGTTCATCAGGTACAGAGAGCGACGGACGAGCAGCCGGCGGATGGCCCAATGCATGAACGGAGCTGGAGTTGACAGGCGGCACGACGGCTGCAGCAGATTCCAACTGCTCTACTCGCTCCATCAGGGGCTGGAGGACCTGGCCGACGGTCTGAGAAACAGCCGAAGCAAGTACATCAGGTGCCACACTCAAGGCGGCGGCAGAAGAAACTGACGGCGCAACGTCGGAGACAACAGAGGCCGCGGAGGAAGATAATGGAGTCCCGGTTGGTTGACGACGAACAGGAGTTGGCCTCGCACGCGCATTACTGCCTGCAGCCGAAGTTTGAGTTGCCGCCCCGGGATCAGGGGCCACATTCAAGGCGGCGGCAGAAGAAACTGACGGCGCAACGTCGGAGACAACAGAATCCGAGTGGGGAGGTATTGGAGTTCTGGGTGATTGAAGACGAACAGGATTTCGCCGCACACGCACATTACGTCCTGTATCCGAAGGTTGAGCTGCCACTCTGGCCGATGGCGTCTTTTGTCTGGTCGAGAAACGAGCCATCGTGAGAATATAATACTCAAATAATCTCCGGCCGCTGAAGACACGTAGTCTGACGGGACTGAGCTGAGAGAGAACAAGGAAAGCGAATACTAAAGACGGCAGCCAATCGGCAGAACTAGGACTGACACTCTGAAGCAGTACGGAGGCAAACTCGAATCAGAAATCAGAATTTTCGAGTTCAGAATTTGAAAGCTGACTGCAGGCAAGGAAACTGGAAAGACCACTGAAGACAGTAAGCTCTGTTGTGCGCACAGGAAATCTGCGCATGCGCAGAGCGTGGGCATGTGGT